TAATTAGAGCGAACAAGTGCTGGTTTCAATAAATTCGCCTTCCTTCAGGATCTACAATTATCGATCCATTCATATTACTTAGCATACACATATAGTTTCAGTAAAGACAAATTAGAATACCATGGTTATTATTTCATCATCACCATTACTATTGTCCTTATTTGTCACCCTTGGACTTACACGTTTAGTTTATCCCATTTGTTGGCTTATTTCTCTTTCGTATATTCATATCGTCTCTCACACCACTGGACACAACTCACTTCCTGAAGTTGTACGTTTCCAGACCGTGCGTCGGTGGCACAGTGGTTAGGAATCTCGCCGACCATGCACATAGTCCGAGGTTCGATCACCTGCCACCGACGCACACCTGATATCTATGGTCGGCCTGGAAAATTTGGGCTACCGATATCCATGCTGAAAATTCCATACTTGTACCAAAAATAGAGTGTGGAATCAAGCTGTAATCAAAAATAAAAATAAATAAAATGTTACGAATTCACCTGGAATAATTTGAGCGTCCCGAGTTAGACAAACTGACAAGAAGTCAAAGTTCACGATATACAGGGAACTGAGACATTCAAACAAATATTTAACTTTCTAATCGGATTACCCAATAAGAATGAAAGTTTCAGTAGCTTGCAATCTCGTAAACAGAACTAGAACCATTATAACAGATAATGATGATATGAAGAATGAGATCTCCAGTATAAAACAAATTTTGATTGGAAATGGTTATCCGAAAAAGCTCCTAAATAATATCATCAATAAGAAAAGACCAGAAGGGAAAACATAAAATTGAAAGATCTTGAATGTCGACGATAGCCATTCCATATTGGAAGGAGACAGCTGAACAACTTCAAAGACTATTTGCTTCATATAATATTAAGGTCTATTTCAAGCCATCTAATTCTTTAGAGAAAGCTTTGATGAATGTCAAGGATATGGTTCCCAAAATGTCAAAAAGTAATTGTATCTATAGGATAAAGTTTTCAGAATGTGAAGCTTGTTATATAGGAGACAGCAGTAGCGAGGTGAAGGTCAGGCTGTGCATGAAAGTCTAGAAAAAAGATCTGTCATAGCAATGCATGCCATAGACAGCAAATATAAGAGCGATTTCTGAAATTCTAGGAAGAGGCTTTCATTCACATAAATAAAGACTGACCTCTGAAGCCTTGCATATTCTAACCACATAGAATGCAGTAAGTAGGAGAGAAGGGATAGACTTATCACCTACATTACAGACTCTGGTGAAACAAAACAGATGAGTGAAAACAATTCAATCCTATATTATGAAGTATTAACATGTTTTGACGTGTTTTCCACATAACAAACAACACACAGACAAACTCATGAAGACAACTGCGCATATATATGACGTATTTTCCACATAGCAAACAACATACAGACAAATAAGTACATATGACAATGTGCACCACAATGGCGACCCAACTAGTGGTATGGTGGCCACACTGCAAAGCTGACTGATTGAGTGAATTCAGTCTGCACCAAAGAAACGACCAGACACATTACGCTAGTTAAATACTAGTGGTGTCCAATCAACGTATGAGCGCGTCGGTGGCACAGCGGTTAGGACGCTCGCCAACCATGCACATGGTCCGGGGTTAAATCCCCGGCCAAAGACGCACTCCCTCACCTAACTAAGCCAGAAATAAAGCTGGTAAAGCGGAAAAAGGTTGGGCATGAGGCTAGCAGCAAACCCATCGTGCAAAAATAAACACTGCTACAGAAACTTCAAGCCTTATGTTCCCGACCGAAAGCTGCTACCTTGACGTGGTGGTCGGGCTTGAACACCGCAATGACCAAATCAAGCTATACTGGCTGAGACTTATGTCTCTTGAGGTCCTACCATGCCAGGAAGGTTGTTTGGATAGCGGTTAAACAAAAAGCAGCTACCCAATCCAACATCATGATCAATACAAAATCACAAAATTTCATGCAGGATCGGCCGTGGCCCGGATTAACAACGACCGCGCTTCCTGCTGCCGTGTCAGAGGGCAGAAGTGATAAAAATATGCTACTGAGACACACCAAACAAAAACAGGCCGCGTATGACCGGCCTGGTTCAAGCAGTTGCCCCCTGTGCTCTGCGGTCACGCAGCCAACTTCCACGGTGTGGGCAGCCGGGAAGTAACAATCGCCCTCACAATCCGAAACGCACTATGTTCCATTGGGAGGGTGAAGGAATTAATAATAATAATAATAATAATAATAATAATAATAATCGAAGTAGGAATAATTCTGCTAAAGAAAAAGCTGTGGCTTACACAGAGAAACGTTGGGAAAAATCTTGTTTTGATTTCTTCCTAAAAATTCTGGATTGTCTGTCTGTCTGTTTTCGACATAGAACTTTGCACAAATGTGCGGAAGTTCAAGTCGCCACATTCCGTGTAGCACGCGAAGCAAGAGAAGAAAGTACAAGAAAAGCATAATAGAAACAGTGAGCAGAGGTGTGAGACAAAGGAGTAATAAAGAAAAACAAAACAGTTTCATTGAAGATCATAAGTCACAGGGAGTGGATGCATCTGCGTTAGCCATTGAGAACGGTTTTGAGCCATGTCATCAATTGTTTCCAATCATAGAATTTTACCGTCCCGAGGACCCCAGCCAGTCAGGAAGTCTACACCTTCCTACGTGACTGGCTTAGACCAACTGTTGTGGATTTCATTAACTGGTGAAGCCATGTTTTGGTTAGACCACCACTAGGTAGCTCTTTTCCAGCCTGACCACTTCACTCCCTATTTCTAATCTAGGAGTCAGTGTAGTCCAGTCCTGTAACATCATCTTGCATTTGGCGGGAGCGAATCGCATGCCAAACATTCGTAGATTGCAACTCAAGATGTTTAGAAGACTCTGCATTTCGTCAGCGTCTTCGCCTAGAAGGACTATATCGTCTGCATATTCCAAGTCAACGAGATTATTCCCCGGTAGCAAGTCAATCCCTGAGTCGCTGAAGTCACCTAGGGTTAAGTCCATTAACACATCTATGATGAAGTTGAATAGAAAAGGAGATAATGGGCATCCTTGACGGACACCACTGGTCGTCATCAGTTCAGATGACAGCTCGCCGTAAGCCCTCACCTGGGATTACTTCTAAGTTATTTATCACCACTTCTTGGAACTTGTTTTTGAATAAATTATGGGGATATCTTCAAATTACTAATTACTGAATAAGGAATATTCTTTTCAATGACTTTTGATAACAGCCTTATCAGAAAATTCTCCTTTTTTTGATTGCAGATTGATTCCACACTGTATTTTTTGTACATGTATGGAATTTTCAGCATGGATATCGGTAGCCCAAATTTTGTAGGCCAATCATAGATATCAGGTGTGCGTCGGCAGGGGATTGAACCTCAAACCATGTGCATGGTCGGCGAGAGTCCTAACCACTGTGCCACCGACGACGCACTGATATATGGATGATACATTCATTCTTTGTGAAAATGATTCCGACAGGAACACAAATAATAACTTAATTCACAATGAAGTACACTCTACTAACAAATTCACATGTGAAAAGGAATCCCGAAATAGAATCGCCCTCCTAGATTATCCCTTCTTACAAGAAAACCAGATGGTAGTATAAAAAAGAAATTTGCATAGGACAACCACATGGACTGGACAATATACACATATTTTCATACCTTCTTTCCTCTCCAGTACAAAAAAAATTAGTAAGGACACTCAGCTACAGGGTTAGAGTTATACGCTCTTTATTTATTTGAACGCATAAAAACTTGGTACCAAGAAGGGTGCGCCACACAATAATAATAAAACAACATAGATCAAAAAATAAATAAAAGGAAAAGAAAAAATATATATAAGTAGATAACGGATAAAGAACTTCATCTGGAAGGAAAACAGTCATGCCTAACAAGTTCAAACAGTATTCGTCAACTATCATAGGGAAGGGAAGAAAGAAGGAAATTGCAACACGTTCGCCATTGATTACGATTCTTGGCCATATCCGATAACGTTTCGAGCCATCGATTTCAGCTATCTCGCGGACCCCAACCAGGGAGTTGTGACGCACCAACCGATGCTAATCTAGCACAAAAATCCTTCATCCCACGACGCCACGTCATGGACTGACCACCTCTCCGCCTTTCCCATCCCGTCCCAGGGCTGGCTAGCGAACAGAGACCTGTACGAAAGCCGCTGGGATGACATTCGCAGCACATGTTCAAGCCACCGGAGCCGGTGTTTCCAGATGACGACACTCAATGAATGGTGATCTCTACTGTGTTCAAACACACGTCGCCGAACCTCAGAATTATTCACGCGATGACACCATCCATCGAACGCAAGCAATCCTGCGGAGATAGCGATGATCGAACACGCAGAGTCGCCGCACATCCTCAGCTCGGAGAGGCCAGGTTTCACAGGCGTAGAGCAAGACAGCCCGCACCGAAGCATTGTATACCCGACCTTTGACAGCCAGGCTAACATCGCGACGGCGCCAGAGGTGGCTCAAGTTCATATATGCCACCCTAGCCTCCATTATACGGTTGGAAATCTCATCCATCACCCCTCCACCAGCACTCACACAACTACCCAGGTACGCGATACGCTCAGAAAACGCAATTGAAGATGACCTTAGGATTGTATATAACACCCTAATTGAAAATAGTTATCCAGAAAAGTTCATCAAGAAACAAATGACCAAGAAAGCAGAAAAGGACAATTCCCTATCTGTAAATAAAGAGCCCTTATATACACGACTGCAATTCAAGGATGACGCCATATAAACCTCATTGCACATGGTAGTGACCCGACGCCCAGCACACGCACTCCTAAACCTCGATACTTAGTCAGTTATAACCCTGGCAAAAAGGGAAGGTTTCGTATGTGAGGTTAGCAACCGTAACATCCCCGGGTAAAGCCAACAACACCATCACCACTACTGAAATTTAAAAACTTGCAGCCTGAAGCCCTGCATGTTTCCCTCAGAACACAAAAATGTATCAAAAAATTTATTAACGGCATTTGTCATTTTCCATTTGTGTTGGAAAATTGAAAATTTACAAATTTATATTTATATATATATACTACCTAAATAAACTTTTAACCAGTTAAGCTCCCCAAATTTATTCATCGTCTTTCAAGGAATATATAAAAAGGAAACGAAAGATATACATACAAATATATCTACCAGTTTCAAAGAAGGCGTATATATATATATATGTGTAGTTGGAGGTGATTTAATTAAACAATCACAATATTTCTGTTTCTTTGCTTAAAAAACTTCGAATTTCTTCCAATAATTCTTCTTTTACAGCATCTGGTACCATTCTACGACCAATTGGAGTGATTTCAGCTACCAAGTCATCAACTGTAACATTTTCCAGTCCACGATCTCGTATAACATCTGAAATACATTCCACCCCCATCAAAAAAAGAAAGGAAAGTTATTGCAATCTTATTGAATTAAGACTAGGATCTTTAAGAAGATTAGTGGCAACAAAGAAGGGGATCAAATGTTGAGTAACAGCAGAGACCAAGAGATTACTTGAGATTATGTGGTGAGAGCAGGCTGCTAGCCGATTGGTTGGCACTAATCTACGTTAAGGTCTAGGTCACTAATATGGGCCGTGAACAAGCCTGAGTCAACAACCAATCACAGCAAAGTTAACGTGGCAAAATATGATTCGCAGAGAGAACTCTATTTGTCAAGGAATCCCGAAACAACCAATCAGAAGCCTGCGTTTGTCTACCTAAACAACCAATCAGATGACTGCGCTTGTCTATAATAATGTAGTTGAAAGATGTATAAATACGTGTTGATTTTGATAATAAAACGATCTGTTGCCTGGCCCTTGTCGTCTGTTGTTACATTTGGTGTCGCTGCCTACCGACAAATGGAATGCCTATGCCCTGCTGTTTTTGATGGAGACATATGGATCTTCGGGCAGGACTTCAAGGCTTCTGCGCAGTTGAGTGGCGTTCAAGATCTGTCAGCGATGGAGCTGCTACTTGAGACGCTGCTGGGAGGTCGGGCGAAAGCAGCATATGAAGGTGTCGGCCGAAGTATGGACGAATGTTCGACAGGGTCAGGCAAACAGTTTCCAAAGTGGGAAGGACCATATATGGTCACTTCGAGATGGGGTTACGCAGACACAGTCGCAATGGCGAACAATGAGAGGCGCGTGAACGTCAGCGAGCTCCAGAAATGGATACAGCGAGACAAGCCAACGATGACGCCTGCACCAAGTAGATCAAGCCGACTTCAGTCGCACGTATTTGACGGGGGGACGAGTGTGGTGAGAGCAGGCTGCTAGCCGATTGGTTGGCACTAATCTACGTTAAGGTCTAGGTCACTAATATGGGCCGTGAACAAGCCTGAGTCAACAACCAATCACAGCAAAGTTAACGTGGCAAAATATGATTCGCAGAGAGAACTCTATTTGTCAAGGAATCCCGAAACAACCAATCAGAAGCCTGCGTTTGTCTACCTAAACAACCAATCAGATGACTGCGCTTGTCTATAATAATGTAGTTGAAAGATGTATAAATACGTGTTGATTTTGATAATAAAACGATCTGTTGCCTGGCCCTTGTCGTCTGTTGTTACAATTATATCTGTGTGAAGACCCAACCATCGGCCAGAGGCAGCTACAAGATAAGTCAGAATGTGCCGTTTTTAAGATCAACCCTGTCTTCGACAGAGCCGAGAAGTAGCATAGCTGGCTTGCTGGCTGTTTGAAGGGAACACTTTACTGCTTTTATGTCCTTTATTTTACAGCAGTGCAGCTTCGCCCTTAAACCCACCTCGTAGCTGCATTTATAGTTAGAAATGATGCACACCTATTATGTTGAGGGTCATTGATAATACCTGGCTGTTCAAACTCCGGTAAGTGGAGAGGGATTCCAACCTGTAACCCAATGTTAGGACGTCAAGCGTTACAACTAATGAGTCACAGCTTTCTGAAAACCAAGACTTGGAAAGGCTATGAGGTAGCAATTACTGTCAGGGATGAATCATAATCTAATAGACGGAAGTTTCAACTTTATAAGTTGCATTACTTATATTACATTAATATTGAGTTAACAATTTCAAAAAATTTAAGTGTTGGTTTGTAGGGATTTGATTGGTTACAGGATTTCATCATGAGCTGACATTAGTTAAGAACCATTGGAAAACCTGCAGGGAGTACCAGACAGCTGTTTCGTCCTGGTTTGGGGCTTTTCATCAGTGCGCACCCACCGGGATTCGAACCCATGACCTTCTGGTTACAAGGCGAGCTCGTATACCATTAAACCACTGGGATCCGATTCAATGGCCCATGAATTCTAACTTCTGCCGATTCACGACATAGCGCGACCAAAAAATTTATTGAATGACGATCGATTGTTAGGCAGTGCATGCATATACAGTAACCACTTACTACTTTGAGCGCTTGAATAAGGTATTAAGAAGACAAATTTCTCGAGATGATATCATCATTTCGTTGTTTCTTTACAACCGCTTTACAACTAGCAACATGGTTAACAATGATAAAATAAAGTTCATGAAAATTACTCAGTTAAATAAAAAAAATAAAAGTATATACTAATGACCAGTCATATTTAGATAGGTCATGTTGTCCATGGTAGACGAAGATTGAAGTCTATTGTGTTGTTTTTGTACACAGAGTTTAGGCTGTATGTGATGATTAATCCCCCGAAGTGCTTCCATCACCTTCAATAACCAGCCTTGAATTAGAGTTATGTGATGAAATAATTGTGAAACAGTTATTAATATTGATTTTGTGGCCTGACATTAATGAGTGCTTTACAATGGATGATGCTGGATTACCTAAAATGATATTATCTCGCAAAATTTGTCTTCTTAATGCCTTATTCAAATTTATCAAAGGGACTAATTGTTTTACTTTGAGTGTTTAAAATTACATAAGGAGTCAACAATCCGAAGATTTATAAAAGGTTTTGTCAAACAGTTGACGACCAAGCACAAAAATGTTACTCATAGTTAAGTTTGGTATCGTTTTTAATGCAATTTATGGACTACGACAGTGAATAAATAATAATCAGGGAAATATTTGAAAAGGATACCTTAAATAGCTTTTTTGTGCTAACAGAAGCACAAAAATTTATTCAGCTAGGTTCTTTGGGGGAAACAAAGTCAGGTATAACCACATGATGAGTAGTGAATAGTGAAGGGGGCATACATGAGAGACATAACAGTGATTTAGTTGGAGAGAGCACTTTATGTAAAATTTGAAATGGTCTTCATACACATTCCACTGATCTGTTTATTCAATTAAAGACAGCTGCGTAAGTAGATTGAGTAACGTAATGCGGTGAAGCGCACTGGAGGCTGAGGGGGCGGGGAGTACCACCGTACAATGGTTTACGAGTATTATACCAATTAAAATTAAAGCACAACATGGTAGAGTAGTTCCTCCGTACAGGTAACATTAACACAATCCCAGGATCCAATGGAAACTGCTAATCCATTCTTAACTGTTCAAGATGTGTTTACTTCTAACATTTTCCATTAACTTTTATAAAATTATCCTTTTTATCACACTTATATTTGCCTAAGCGATATCACTACATTTTTCTTGTCCCCCTCTAAATGTACTACCTTGAAATGTAACAAATTAGAATGATACACTTTCCAAAAGATATGCAGAGGCTAGCTAACTGTAGACGTTTGTGCTCTATCTCCCGTGTATTAATGGGTATAATATAGTTTGTAACATTGAGGTTGGGTGTAGTGTCAGATAAGCAAAGGAAGTCAGTCAGTGAGGTTTTTAAGAAGCATCAACTGAGATGCCCAAGGCATACATTACGTGTGTAAAACCACTGCCTTTCATGTTGGACAATGTTAGCTTACATAGGATTAGGTTGGAAGAGTAACGTGTGGCTGGAGTAAGACTTAGCATCATTTCATAAAGTCTTTGACTTCGGGCCGTATGGAGAAATGTAGACTGTCTGGATAAGATCTTTTAGACGCTAAGAACCAATGGCCGGAGACTGTTATTGACATGACTAAAAGTTGTTCTCAATGAACTTCCAAATACATTAAATTTCTAATATTCGCCATATGTTAATCCTTTGTTCAGCACATTCTTGTTTATTGTGATTCATTCTTCAACTTGTAATGCCTAGTGACTTATTGTAAAACTTTCGTAACAAAGCTATGTTTATTATTACATGTTATTATATGTAAGAAACTGATGTGGTTGCGCACACTTTCAAGTTTATTTCAGGCCATGTAGTCAATAGTAATGACAATCAGTTAACGTGAAGGCAGGTTAAACAAAGGTTTTTTAAAAGATGGAAGGATGTTGGCGTTTACGAGAGGTTTGCTCTATACAAACACAAGTTCTTATCCTCCAACACCCATAGTATTCGTCTGCTTAGACAAATCAGAACACTGAGTTGACTGTCCAAAATACGATATATATATTTCGGGAACAGAATCTTAGCGCAATGATGATTGCGCTAGTGATCGCGGATGAACGACCTAATGTAACACGAAAGCGTGACGAATGGCGTGGATGCTTGACCACGAACATTCGGCTTAACAAGTCGGCTTAAACAGAGATCAGCATGCACTATTGGGTGATGAATGCTGTAGATGAATAACTTTGAGGGATTATTTACGGTTACAGATTAACAGATCGAAAATATACACAACCAACACAAGGAACAGACTGGGTGAGGCATTAAAATACTTCACATTAAAAACACATTGACGAAATTTAAAGAAATATTTATCAGTAAGAATCTGTGCAGCAAAATCACCAGATGAACTACTTGGAGTGTTCAGTTTGTCACAGATACTAAAGGTTTTCATTTGTGAAAACATGAGATACTTATTTCAAGTTCACATGACCATTCCCACAACTGAGGTGTCAGCAACACCTGTTTATCGCACTACAGAGACGAACAGTTTTTGAGTGTGAAATATGGATCCTCAACAAAAACTTTGGTGAACCTCCTTTGACAGATACATGAGGTGTATGCGATTACTTGACTCGTAACCAAGAATAATTCTCAACCATCAAGTTTACAGTCGAACCAAACATGATTACAAAGCTATAATATCATGGCATAAATCGTAACAGGGAACTCTACAGAAAGTATAACTGGTGTCGTTTCTAACCGGCACATTTACTATAGAGTGCTCCGTTAGACGCATTTCACCTAGCTATTTAATACTATTCAAACGATGTGGTATATCCACATTTAAAAACGACAGTGGTTTTAGACATACAAAACTAAGAGGATGATTGCGGCAGATGAGGAATACACTTTAGATATTTTACACTTACCCCGACAATGGCTTTTTAGTGTTTCTTTCCAGCCACTTTCGCCTAAACGAGTACGTAAAAGGTCTTTCAGCTTCTCTTTCTCCCCGCTACTTTCGAGCTTTTCATTTATATAGGCACGAATCCGAGTAGTTTTATCACTAAACAGAAAATTACGCGACTCTAGAATCAACAACTAACTCCAAGGTCATCATCCCCAAACGTTACCTTGGCGCTCCAAGTAAACACTCAACTTCTCAATGTCCAATATTCACTTACTATCTAGTATTGACCAGATTGCTTCGTGTTAGCAGCTTCTCATCTTTGGTGGAGGAAAATTCTAAAACAAAACTGGTCTGCAGGGTGCATTATCAAGGAAACCGAGGAAGAACATCGTGCGGTAGCACCGTTAATATACGTGTAAAACTTGGGCACCGTAGTAGTAAGTAATTCCATATTAGTTTGTTTATTAGATGTACCACACACAGTGAGCGAAACAGTATTATGACATACTGGATGACGTTTCGAACACAATTTATTGTTCATAATCATATCAATTGTGGTCACACGACTTTGAGATTTGAGTTTTATAGTTTTCTTTGTTTTCTCCTATTTGTCGTATGGGCAGTATAACTTTCCATTTATCTGGGACAGGTGTTGAACCGTTTCTATCACATGTATTTGCAGTTGATTCGATAAACGAAGCTTCTGTTATCAATCTCTCACTTGCTCCACCCTGTGACATTAGATTTTAAAACTGTCTGTCATCCTATCCCATCCTATTGTATGGTTGTGTGTAACTGCATGTAGTGCTATCGCTGAACTATTTTATAGATTTCTTATCTTATTTGGGTCAACTAATCTAGATTTAGCTAAGTTTTTATGTTCGGCTAGCCTGACTGACTGTCCCTGTTCTACTAGTTTGACCTATGTATTTGACCTTACAATGATTGTAGGCAGGGTATTACATAAACTAAATTGTTTTGTTTTAAAGGCTCCACAGGAGTGATCCTTTAACCGACAAAGCGTGTTTCTAATTGAGTTTGTGGTTGGTTTGAATGCCAGCCACTTTTATTCCTGCCTTGTTAAGAATTCTGCGTAAGGCCTCCGAGGTTCCCTCCTTGCATGGAATTACTGTTGATGATTTAGACTCCTTATTGTTGGTGTCGTCATTAATATTATTATTATCACTATTATTATTACCATTATTAATATCATTATGATTGTTATCGGTGCAGTAGCACTGAAGCATACTTCAGATGGAACAGTACTGCTTCAGATGATGTATTATCCATCACTCTCCTACTTGAGGGCTCTACAGAAGAGGAAGTAACTCTGAAATAGAACTCACTGAAAATCAAGTACTATGTTAAAAGCATTTTTGAGAATATAGCTATCATCGTTGTTATCTGAGGGTTACGTTCCAGTTCGTTTGAGTTGACAGTTTTATGGATTCATTCCATGTGTTGGTAATTGTGATTATCCAGCGATAGCCCATAGATTTCTTTTGACGGTGCATTAGGTATGGCTGCTAGAGCAAAACTCGAAATGAGGAGAAATGTGAGTGCCCTTTGATATGTAATCCTTCTTGGGTTGACAGAAAGGGGTACAAGAATAGCTAATGACAGGATCCCCTTCGGCCTCCGGTCTGATCGCGTTCATTTATAATCTTAGAAGTGGCGATCAAATCACTACAAAGTCGGAGGTAGCGAAATGCAGAAGAGACCCGATTCCTACAACATTTCGTCGAGCCGTTTGTGTCAAAAGCAGGAAACCCCGAATGTTGCCTTGCTGTGAACCCTTTCCAAGATATTCTTGCATTTCCTAAGTAATGGTGGAGCAGTGATATCGCACATCAATTGGTGCGCCCTCAGGAAGACTCTGTAGGGCCTGTCTAAAAGTCAGGGTTTGAAGACACCTAGCCGCCTACATGTGTATTCATAGCATAAATGCATGGTACAATCACTGACGTAATTCACGTTTGTACTACATTTTTTCTTTAGATAATGCGCTGGCGATACACACAGCGATTTGTTGTTAAACAAGGAATAGATAGGTCACTGCGTTCTCTGGAGGGAGCTTTGCATTCCCTAAAGTTTAAAGGCATCCATAACAATCTGTATGTCAAATAAAGAGGCAAGATTAAATGAAACTCATGCCATTTTTGTAGGCATGATCAAACACGATATAAATTGCAATCGGGTGACATAAGTAAATTAGTGTTGTTTCAACATCTGAGTTATAATGCAGGCAATCACAGCAGGTCCATGTTAATGTAGAATTACATATCCATCAAGGTTGAGTGGCGGCCCAAACTTCCTTTTTTTCTGCGGGTAATTTCGGTAAACCGATGAACAGTCACTACTGAGGTCAATGCTATTTCTTCGCGAGATCGTAAGATAATTTCAGGGGAACTGGACTTTCTAAAAATCGTAAATTGGAATAGAATACAGATAAAGGAAATCTATCATAAAAATCACAATATCATGGGATAAATAGGAAGGAGTTATTTCGGGATTCATAATTACAACGTTCGTTCGCAATGTGTGATGCTAACCAAATTGATCTAATTATCAAAAATATTATGTTTCCAATGGAAGCATACCTTTTTTCCAACAAAATGTTTGATTTAATTTTAACTCACGCATACTCAGACTTAGAGGAGCATGTAATACAAATGAAAAAGTAAGTTTTAGTTTAGTCAAAAGCTTAGACGGTTAAAAAATAACACAGTTCAGCTATTGTTTTAGCTGTGAACTAATGTAGAGAAATTATTGCGCTAATATAATTCAAGTATTTTCAGTCAGGTAAATCCATGAAGTAATTATCCTCCAGCTTCATCAGTAAATGTTTTGTTCTGGAATTTCCCGTCATTTGAAATGGTAAAACTGAAGACACTCGCTTAAGTGCTTTCACTATTTGGCACCTCATTATTTTCGTTCCTATGTTCGTATTGGGGAAGCCAGTTAGTTAAACAGCTTAAACGAATTCGAGCTCTTCTTCTATTCGCTTTCAACGGGGAATAACACTCACAATTGTTGTGTGGTCATTGTTTCCTGCTATACCTGCGTCTTGACCACACTGCCTGCTGACCTTTTAGCCTGACCCACCTAGCCTCGCGGCCTAATCGATCGGAGCACAGCCACAGCTCAGAAAGTGAGAATATTCACATTTGTTCAAGGATTCATTTACTGACAGTGGTGAAAAAGGAATATGGAGATAGACAATCACAGTAAAATCAACAAACGCACACTTGTTCTTTGAAAACCCATTTGGTAGTAATGTGATTTGACCAGCAAAGATAAGCAAATTGACCGTTAAAGGTGGCTGGGGTTTATTCCGAAATTGGGAATTTCTGCCATTCCCTTTACAGCACACAACTCACTGTAGGTAATATTATTTGGCAATAAGTACAAGATTCACATGCTCGAGCGTCGTTCTCGATCATAAAAATCGATGCTTTGCTGGATAAATGGTTTATACTCTCCTCGACCAGCACTAATTTCAAAATCATAACACAAGAATTTAGTCTTCAGGAAGCCAACGAATTAATTCGTCTCAGACCACGGCAATTTGGCGAAATACTTGTTAACATTGATCGCTGCTGGTCCAAACAGTAGGTTCAGATAACTAAGGTAGTGGCAACATGTTGGGCCTTGGGTTTCGACACGATCCAATCTTTATTTCTACATGTGTTGGTGAGTGATTTCCCATCGCAGGCGGTGAAAAAGCACTCTGCTCCCTGTCCGGTTCACCATTGAGTATGGGAAAAAAACATGCTCCATGAGATATACTGTCAGCCACGTCTCGTAAACCGTCAATGCCCAGCTCTTGCTACGCTGGGACTCACGATGTTCCTCGAAGCTTCTCAGGAACGCTTAGTACGAACGGACGAAAAAACCAGAACCCAGTTTGTCGACTCGAGAATTATTTATTCTAACACCAACATATAGCCATTGTACAACTAAGCTTTACAACTAAGGTTTCTGACGGTTGTCTTCTGACTTCTTTCTGAACAGCGACCGATGAGACGATGACTGGTGTATTGATGCCTCCGCGAAAATTGGGGAAGTTGGTTTTGAGCAAACAACCATGGATTGATCGTTCAATCTTAAACTACATCGACATATACAGTATCGTGCTAACAAGCAAACAGGCTGGGGAACTAATTTGATGATGTCAGGATCTTGTTATACCACTCACTTCCTGAAAAATGTAGCAGCTACCTTTTATGAGGATGTTATCTAATGCCCAGACACCGTCGCTCCTAAGAAGATTTTAAAATCACCTGATGAAAAAGCCCGAAAATTTTGGAAGTATACGGCCATAATCTAAAGAAATAGTGGAAACAGTGCAATGCCACTAAGGACATCAGCTCGCCGATCAATATACAACACATTTGAATCTATCAAGCGACTGCGTACACGAGACGACTTCAGCGAAGAACTATGTACTTTTTAAAGAACCTTCGAAGCCCTTAAAAGTTCTCATCATAAAACATTTCCAGTTGACGGGCGATTTAATCCGTAATTAAAATGGAGTCAATTCAAATGGACCCTACCACCGTCTGCAAACGTTTTACTGCCTGGTTCACTAAATTTAATTTTGAAAAATACTCCCTGAAATGACTACATTCCGTATCAGATGCTGACCCATGAAGGAAATTTTCACCAGTAAGATGACAAAAGAGGCATTTAGAGGCTCCAGACCGGATGGCTTACCATCAAAAGCCCTCAGTAAAAGTGTGTGATATACCTTTTCCAATCCTGAAGCTATACTCTCTACTTATGGACACCATAATTTCTATAGTGAGGGAAAGATGGCTCTGTGATCTCACACTGCCAAATTCTGTATTCAGGTAAATGTTCGCAACAAAACAAAGCCACATCTATCTTGTGGGTCATGCAGAAAATGTCCGAAATCATTTACCTGATAATAATTTCAAGGAGGATCCTGAAACAAAGTATCAACATGGTTTTCTAAAAAGTAGGTCTTACGTCAACTCCTAGTAAATGTTTTAACTACATCACGAGGGACGCAAACCAGCTATTGCCTTCTGCATCCGCATGTCAAATTCTTTTGATATGCTACATCACATTGCCCCTGGGAATCTGTAGCCCATAACTTAAGTGGTAAAATTCATTTCTGTGCTAAAGAGCGTAAATAATGAAGACTGAATTCATATCTTCTCGCCTCAGTTAGATCACAAGTGGGG